GGAATAGGAAAGGGAGGCTGTAGCATATGCTTTACAAAATTGAATCAGAAATCTCAAATGCCATTAAATGCTTCTACTTTAGCTCAGCCCCTTTATAAAACTGCACTTTTCTTCCCCAGTTAGTGTTTGCCTCCCATGACTTAAATGCTTCTAATGAAGTGCACAGGGTGTGCTTTCCCAGTGATTTTCCCACTTGCTAGCAATGCTCTCATCCTTTTTTATTATGACCAGTATCCTGATTAACCAGCTTCTTCAGAGCAAGACTCTTAAGGGATACACTTTAAAGGAAACCAGAGATAATTGAACAGAAATAGATGAGATGCACGATGAATTATAAATACAAACGAGTGAGGTGGGATTTGATGATATTGGAACATAAACAAATTCAGCTCATTGCGGTATCCAGGTTTCCTACAGCACATCATGTTTGCACAATGTTTCCATTGCAAGTGTTTAGCACTGGGAATGCATAGGATCCTACTTTTTTCCAATAATCTCTAGTGTGTTCTCTGTCCCTTGATCTTCTAAATGCAGTAGAAAGAATTAATTGACCTGGTTGCCTGTTGGAAATTTTATCTGCACCATTCTCTATTTGACCACTCAAAGTCTTGAAGATGTATGATTAGAAAAATCACAGTAAATATATAGAAATACTTTGCAGCTTAGATAAACGAGAGGGTGCATGAAAAATGCCTAGCAAGGCTGCAGCCAGGTTAGCTGTGAGGCTGGTGGGAAGGGACATATCTATGGTGGTATTCTATTTGTACTGAATGTGATTTTAATTGTGTGTTAATAAATAAAGTTGTCCGGGGGTCAGAACAATTAGAGCCGTAGAAAGAGCGTGGCGGTGGTGGCGCACGCCTTTCATCTCATAGATCTCTGTGTGTTCAGGGATACAGCCAGCATTGGAGACATACGCCTTTAAGACCTGGAGGGCGGTACTTACAGGCAGTGACGAGGCAGTTATGTGTTTGGGTTTACAACCAATGAGAAGGCAGAACAGAAAGATTATTTAAAGACAGACACACAGGAAGTAGCTCTCTTTCGGAGAGGTAGGAGCACTGCAGGAGTAAGGGTAAGGTTTTAGCTCTGAGCTCTGACCTCTTGGCTTTCTCTTTTACATTGGTTCTGTGTTTCTTGTTTAATAAGATGGTTGGTTACATCTACACATATCATGCAATGAATGTGAATGAGTGTCTTTATTTTAATGCTTTGTGTTCTTCTCTCAGTTAGTATGACCTCCATAGATTATATGACCTCAACATCACAGGGGTTGAGAGCATTGGTCTTAGAATGCCTGGCTTAGATTCTCAGTCATCCAGTTCTGAGTGTGTGATGATCACTTTTCTGTTTCCTCTAAGAGTATCTGGTTGTATATCCAAAGGGATCAAAGTCCGCATGCAACATACTATATATTGAGGCCTATTGCTGCATTATTCACAGTGATAAAGTTATAGATGACTGGATAAAGGAAACATGGTGTATATGTACAATGGGGTTTTATTCTGCCATATTAAATAATAAAATTATGTTATTTGTTAGGAAATGAATGGGGATGAAGATTATCATGTTAAGTGGAATAAGCCAAACTCAGAAAGACAAATATTACATGCTTTCTTTCAAACACAGAATCTAGATTTAGAAAGAAAAATATGAAAATAGAAGGGGGGATCTATTTTGGAAGAGGAAGGATACAGGAGTAGTGGGGTGAAAATGGTGGAATGAAACTCATTATTTTGTACAATTAATATACATGAATAGATAAAAGGAAAAAAACAGTACCTCATCCATAGGATGACTATGAAAAATTCAAGATAAAAAATGTAACAATTAGAATAGTTCCTGGATAACACTAAATAATAAATACTAAGGACTGTTTTCAAGACTCTAGCTCTGTTAAACTTTCTAGTTATGCCCTTCAAGAATGTCAAGGTTAAGCTATATTCCACATAATTTAACGCTGGTATTATAGCAACAGCATGAGCTCAGATAACAAGTTCCATGACATTTGGTTTTATTATGGGTGATAGACTCATATTTTCCTATGATTTCCCTCACTTCTACTAATTAATTAATTAACTAACTAATTAATTAATTTTTTGAGACAGCGTCTCATGTAGACCATCTTTGAACTTGCTATGTAGTCATGAATAACCTTGAACTTCCAATTTCCCTGTCTCTGTCTCCACAGTCCTGGGATGACAGGCACCACCATGCCCACTTTATGCAGTGTTAATGATCAAATCTAGGGCCTCCTGTATGCTAGGAAAGCCATCTACCACCTGACCTGTATTCCCAGTTTGGTGATTTCTTTTGACTAATACATTGATAGGAAATGCTAGGCACATGGGTTACTATCTTCTCCTTTTCATAACAATTGCAGCCACCATCAATCAACTGTCCCATCTATAACTGAGCCCATAAAAGGTTCAGAGTTCTTCTCAGCAGTCAGGGCAGCTTTGTGAATTAGGGCTGGCTCGGTGGTAACCTATTTGCTGTTTTATCCTAGCAATTTAGTCAGTAGTATTACCGTGGTGGAGTGAAGAAATTGAACGGAGGAGGGGGCTGAGGCTGGCAGAGGACTCAGAGATGACTGATGCGCATGCTGGCATCTGATAACCCATTCCCTGTCAGGAGGACCCCGTCTCTACTGCTCCAGTGTGGTGATTTGCAGGAGCATAAAATGAGCTAATTTTGGAAATTTGTCAGTGTGCAATCTTGGGTAATAAAATATCCAGATTTACACAAGTGCTGCTGTGGCAATGACAGCAGACATGATCTGTGCAGCTGGGTGGGGTGGATGCTGCGGAGTGTCAGATGGCAGCCTGTTTTAATGTGTGGAGAAGTTTTACTGCATTTACTCTTTCAGTTATAGGGGTGTGTGGCTAAACTGGACACAGAAATTAGAGAAAAAAAGGTCTATCAAATGCATAGATTTTGTAATTTATTTTAGAGTGCTGTAGTCTGGATCATGGCATGTGCGCATGACCTTTGGTTAGGAAAATTGTTAATTAAATCAATATAGAATGCTTTAAGACAGTAGTTCTCAACATGTGGATTGAGAATCCTTTGGGGTTTGAGTGACCCTTTCACAGGGGTTGCCCAAGGCCATTGGAAAACACAGATATTTACACTATAGTTCACAACAGTAGCAAAATTACAGTTATGAAGTAGCAACAAAAATAATTTTGTGGTTGGGGTCACCACAGCATGAGGAATTGTATTAAAGGGTTGTGGCATTAGGAAGGTTGAGAACCACTGCCTTAAGAGGTAAAATGAAAACATAGGGTAAAGGCAGGAAGGTCCCCCATGAACTAACAGTTGAAGACAGTTCTGGCTGTTATCTGCCTTCTGATAATGTTTAGTTCCGTGTTTTCTGAGTCCAGCACAACCTTGACCTCAGTTAACACATTCTTTTGAAGCACATATGGGAGCATTTTAGGAGATGTATCTTAAAAGGTCCTAGCCAATTCCTCAGCTGATCCTGTTTCCTTAGACTGGAAGCTTCTGCATCCTTATCTGAAGGAATCTCAGCTGAACTCCTGCTCAAAAGCCTCAAAGCTTAATCAGCTCTAGTTCCTGGTTTTCATGCCTTATATACCTTTCTGCTTTCTGCCATCACTTCCTGGGATTAAAGGCGTGGGTCACCATGCCTGGCTGTTTCCAGTGTGGCTTTGAACTCAGAGATCCAGACGGATCTCTGCCTCCCATTTGATAGGATTAAAGGTGTGTGTGCCACCATTTTCTGGCCTCCATGTCTATCTAGTGGCTGTTCTGTCCTCTGACCCCAGATAAGTTTATTAGGATGCACAGTATATCGGGGGACACAATGTATCACCACAGTTAGGTTTGCTTCAGTTAATGAGCAGGTTTGTAGCTTTTCCATTCCCCCCTCCCTTCCTCCTTTCTTTCCTTCCTTTCTCTTTCTCTTTCTTTCTTTCATGGAGGAGACAGGATCTCATGTATTTATGCTGGCCTTGAATTTACTTTGAAGCTGAGGATGTCCTTGAACTTTGAATCCTCCAGCTTCCATCTCCCAAGTTCTGAGGTTTCAGGTGTGTGCCACCAAGCCTACTTTTGTGGTGCTGGGGATCATACTAAACTTCATTTATGAGAGGCTGACATTTTATCAACTGAACTATCTCTCCAGTTGATTGTTTAATTCATTTTTGTTGGGTTTCCTAGTGGGTATTGGTTTCCTGATCCAGAGGAGGAACTGGTAACCATATCTTTGACTCAAATCTCTATTTCCAGTAAACTGGTTGCTAACTAATTTGAGCTAATCATTTTCTATCTCCTACAAATTTGGAACTGGAATTTAGAGATTTATACAGAGCTACTTTTTGGCTGTATTTATCTTGGATAACAATATTCTGTAGTGGAGTGGCTATTACCTTTTGCCACCATGAAGACTCAGTGAAGAGGAAGAAAGGGAGCAGGAGAGAGAGGAAAAGAGAGAGAGAGAAGGAAGGAGGGAAGTAGAGAGAGAGCCCATTTATTTGCCAAACTCAGTTCCATTTTGAGGACTCATGGAATTCTGGGTCATCAGGTGCATGAGAGTGAATTTGGCCAGGTGGAAATGCTGCCTTCAAAGGCCCTTGTATCTCTAGTGCTTTTCTTTTGTTTAAGCCACTTATTTTATGCTCACTCTGTGAGTTTTAGCACAGCTCCCCAAACTGTGTAAAATGCCTCACTATCTCAAATCGCCAGATCACAATTTCCTCTTCAGTAAATATATCCAAACCAAGAAGGGCGTGAAGTAGTCACACACACACTGCTGAAGTTCACTCCACTTCCAGATAACATCTCTTTTCTGAAGATTGAGCATCATGAATAAGACAACAGCTTCAAATAGCTGTTATTTTTGTCTAATAGATATGACTATTGAAACTTGGGATATTTTGTAGAGGAATTACCCAAACAGTCAGTCAGTGGCAGGATTATAATTTTTAACATATTGTTTGACTTCAGTCCCAAGGCCCCAAACCCTTGGGTTCCTTTCTTCTGTCTGCTCTATAACGCTGACATGGTATTTACTTTCACACTGGTAAACGTTGGTCCTTCAGCCAAGTTCTAGCGACCACAGGCCTGGGCTATTTTCTACATTTTTACCTTCCAATCAAACATGATAAACCAGCATGAATTGACTGATGTGAGATGCTCTGGATAATGGGTGGAAATGTTTGTTTACCTGTAAAAATAAAAGAAGAGGAAGAAAGTGAAACTGTCAACTTGAATCAGATAGATACAGGATCCACATAGCCCTTAGACCCTCAGATGTGCCCAAACTTTAAGAAGGGCCATTAGGGCTAACACCCCTCAGCTTTATGCATGTCTACCTTTGGCCTACAAGCTGATACTCAGTAGTAACTCTCTTCTGCTTCCTCCTCCTCCTCCCTCATCTCATGCCTGTTTCACTGGCTACACTCCCATCCTTTAGGGAAGGTGAGTGGTTCATAGTTGTGTTGGACAACTGAAGACAACTGTTTAGCAGCTTCCTGCCTTGCATACTGCTCCTGCATCCATTTGCTCTTTTCCTCATCATCTCCTTCATACTTATGGATTTTAGTCAGAAGAAAGAAATTACCTATCCCATTTTGTCTTCTTTTCTAAAACACGTGCTTCAAAATTTGGGTACCTGTGAAGAGAAGAGATCATGTATGTTCAACAAAGGACATTCCATGTGAGAATATTTTTGAACAATCTTACATGCCCTATTCTAAAGCTTCACTTAGCTTGGCTTCCCTGCAGCCACCTTAACTTCTCCGTGGTGCATAGTTCAGAATTCAGCAGCTATTAAAGTTAAAGGTATTTGGCCATCATTCCTCCATCAAAAGTACCGCTCACACCTAGTAACCTTTGCTTCTTTGCTCCTTTCCAGACTTCTGAACTGGTCAAGAAGTCCCTTGTAGTAGTTGGAATGAAAATGTCCCCTATAGGCTAAAATGACAACACTTAGTCCAAAGTTGGTGGGGCTGTTTGGGGAGGTTTGGGTGGTGTGGCCTGGAGGAATAATGTTGCTGGGGGTGGCCTTTGAGAAATTAAAGACTCCACACTGCTTCTACTTTGCTCTCTCTGCTTCGTTCTTACAATAATGGATGTTGAGATCTCAGTATCCTGCTGTCATATTTCTGCATGTTGATGGGTTCTCCTTCTTCTTCTTCTTCTTCTTCTTCTTCTTCTTCTTCTTCTTCTTCTTCTTCTTCTTCTTCTTCTTCTTCTTCTTCTTTTCTCTAGACAGGGTTTCTCTGTAGCTTTGGAGTCTGTTTTAGAACGCACTCTCTCACTCTGTAGACCAGGCTGGCTTCGAACTCACAGAGCTCCGCCTGCCTCTGCCTCCCGAGTGCTGGGATTAAAGGAGTGCACCACCACTGCTTGGTGCTGTTGATAGTTTCTTATACCTCTGGAGCTATAAGCCAAATAAATATTTTCTTCTTTGAGTTGCCTTGGCCATTGTGTTTTATCAAGGAACAGAAAAATAGCCAATGCCATCCTTGTGTCCATGGTCTACTCTAATGAATCTTTTTATATTTCTGTGAGTACTCAAGGGCATCTCTGGGTAGACAGGAACCCTAATATTGTTCTTTCAGTCCTCCCTATGTGGGAGGACTATAATATCTATAAGGTGTTTAACAAGGCCCAAGAGGCTATTCTGTGCTCATTCCAGTTAATGGCAATAAAGGTCTTTTACTAGAATCTTATTTATGTTTCTTTGGTTCTGACGCTCATCTTTAATTACTGCCCATACAGAGCTCAAGACCTGCCATGAATGATAAAGACTCATTCTCATTGCTACCTCAAATTTACTTCCCTTCCACCCAGTGCAGTAACCTTTATCACTGTAAGTTATGGCTGTGTGGTTATTAGAAGGGAGCTAAAGGATAGTTTGCTTCTATGTAAGATATGAAGGCAGATGAGTCACTGCTTGCTGTATGAGAGCAGGTTGGGGAATGGAGCATGAGTCCTTTGGTGGATCCATAAAAATGCATTATCTTCCTTTTAAAAGATAATTATTTAGGAGATACTTGCTTAGTTCAGTTAGAAGTTTCTTTCAGAGATGAGAAATATGGGGAAGGAAAAGAAAAAATGATGAATTTGTTTACAATTGGATTCATGGATAGATGAAGGAGCAGAAGAGATGGCAAGACTGAAGATCAGGAAGGCATTGGGTGTCCTGAAAGTAGTAGGGTGTGCAATATCTCACAGGAAGGAAGTCAAGACAGTGACAGTGCAATCTTGTCATTTGGTTATGGAAACTGTATTTCTTCGTAGATTTCACTGCACTTTTTGTTTCTACATGAGGAAAAGCATCTTCATCTACAACAGAGAGTCAACATGTGATTTTAATTTGTAGTTCAAGTGATGTCACTGGTTTCTAGAAAATAGGTGACTTCTTGAGACTTTTTGTCCTCTGAGAATTTTGAACAGAAAGTGGCTATGTTATACGTCATCAATGACTGACCTTTCTTTTTCAGCTTGGCATTTCATCTCTTTACCATACTTTTTATCTTAGTGTCTTTTGTTTGTCTTTGTTTTTTCGAGACAGGGTTCCTTTGTGTTGTTTTGGTACCTGTCCTGGATCTCCCTCTGTAGACCAGGCTGGCCTCAAACTCACAGAGATCTGGCTCTGCCTCCTGAGTGCTGAGATTAAAGGTGTGCACCATCACTGCCTGGCTATCTTAGTGTCTTAAAGAAATTGCAGTCAACGCCCCCCCCCCCACCAAGTAAAACACAGATTTCCTACTGGACACCACACATTAATAACTGTTTACATGTGAGGTGACTTTGATCCCATTACAATGCTACCTCTTCTCTACTGTATCACTTGTTTCTTTTCTCTCCCTTCTCTTGATTAATTTCCAAGGTTTAATCTTTATCTTTTCTACTGACTTATTATTATCACATCCTTAATGAAGTTTTACTGGTTTCTCAAAACTTATGTATGAACTCAAATACAATGAACACATATTGAATGACTATTACATCTTCCCTTGTATGGTATAGGAACCTTAAAAGGCTTGCCCGTTTCTTATGTCTTTTCCTGTCATTGTTTTGCATTAAAATTTTACTATGATATATATATATATGATATATGATATATATATATATATATATATATATATATATATATATATATATGCCTTGCATACTGGCCACTCTCTATCAGCCCACCTTGTCAACCCTTCTCTTTTTCTATAAATCTCTTTCATATCTATTAATTTTTGTATTGTGACCCACCAAGATTAATCAAGGACCATCTGTGTGACTAAGGGTTTTTAACTATCCATTAGAGTCTGGTAGGATCAGCAGAGGTCATAAAATAAAAGACAGTGATTCTCCCTCTCAAATCAATCAGGTAAAGGGATGGACCCTCTAAGCCTCTTCTACTCACTGGACTGTTAATAGAGTTAGTATTTTTGTGCCCAGTGCAGACAACTTTGGTAGATATGAGTTAATGATTACGGTGCTTGCATTGAACCCAGAAAATGGCATCTCACGACTCTCACATACTTCTTGCTCCTCTTCTGCAGTGTTCCCCAAGTCTTGGAGTGGGCGGCATAAGTTACTTGGTTAGGACTGAATCCACAGCAGTCTTTTTTTCCCTATTCTTGGTAAGCAACAAGTCTCTACATTCACCACTGTTCACGGTAAGCAGAGGCTTCTCTCATTAAAGCTGGGAGTTCCATTCATTTGGCTATTTGTCCCTGTGCTTTATCCAACCTTGGTCTCAACAATTCTTGCTCATATAAATCCTCCTCTTTCTTGCTAATTGGACTCCCGGAGCTCCACAGGGTAGGCTGGGGGGAAGGGGGGAGGGGGGAGAACAAGGGAATCTGTGGCTGATATGTAGAACTGAATTGTATTGTAAAAAAAATTAAATTAAAAAAAAAACAAAAAGAAAGAAAGGAAGAAAGAAAAAGCTGGGAATTCCTTATGTCTATTGGTATAACATAGGCGTTTAGAAGGCAGATTGCTGTTATGTAAATTAATCACCAGAAATGTGTTTCATGATTGGGCCTGATACCTCTCTAGACCTGGGTTGTTATCCAGGCTTACCATCCCAGGCAGTGTTCCTACCTCATACCTCTGGACTAGATATGATTAAAGTGCATTGTACATGTGAATAAAATGGCATATGACCTGTGGTTTTATATAATGAATATGTGCTAATAGTAGTGAAAACAAGAATAGTATATTCATCTCCAAGTATAAACATATGTTTACATGCACACATGACACACATGCATGCATACATGTGCACATGCATATATGCACACACACATGCACACATACATACTCATACACACACACACACACACACACACACACACATACACCTTCAGTACTACTGTCATATATAAGAAATCAGATCTTCAACAGGAAACCTTCAAGGCATACAATAAGCAAAAAAAAAAAAAAAAAAAAACAAAGAACAAATACAGCAAAACACAAAAGCAAACTCAAGCATGACAAAGACCTGAACACTATCAAAGAGGAGCTTAGAATAATTGTAAATAAAACCATAAGGTCTCTAACGAAAAGGTAAGTACCCTGTAGGGACAGAGAACACCAAATATAAATAATGGGAGAGAAAGAGGGGACATATTATATTCAAACTGGTTAAGAAACAAAGAGGAAATCCTACAGGCTCTCAGAGTAGGGCAAAGATGTATTGACTCCAGCAGAACAAGGCTAAAAATTATAGCAAACTTCTTGTCAGAAAAGAAGACAGTGAGCGAAGTTATATGCTTAAAGCTAAAAGGGGGGTCGGCAATGAACCTAGAATTCTATATTCAGCAAAAAAAGAAAAAAAACTTCAAAAGTGAATGAAAAATAAAGGTTTTGTTAGGAAAAAAATGAAAGAGTTCACTTGTAGCCCAAGTGCTGCATAAGAAATTTTTAAGAGCTTTTGTAGAAGGAAGAATAAGAAGACATGGGATGAAACTCAGACTTATTAAAAGAAGTGAAACACTGGAGCTAACATCAAATGTAGTGAAATAAACTCCTCTCCGTCGTTTGTCAAAAAGATAACTGCTAAAGAAGACTATAGTAATAGGGGCTAGAGAGAGGGCACTGAAGTTGAGAGGACTTATTGGCCTTGCACAGGATCCAAGTTTAGTTCCCAGCACCTACATAAACAGCCCACAGTCACCTGTAACTCCAACACAGCTCCAAGGGATCTGACACCCCTATGTGGCCTCATTGGACCCCTACTTTAATGTGCATGTGGGTGCTTGTGTGCACGCGCGCACGCGCGCACACACACACACACACACACACACACACACACACACACACTTATTCTTGCTTCCTCTCCCATTTATTCCAAATACTCTTGCTTCTATATTGTCTTTTTTCATAACTAATTTGCTTTATTTTATTTTAAAATATGACATATTTTAACTAACTCTTTGAGACTTTCTTACATGTATACATTGCATTTTGATCTACTCACCCTAATCTACTTTCACCTAATCACCTTTGATCTACTCCTCCCTCCCCTACATCTACCTCACCCCATCATCTCTCAACTCAAAGTCTTCTTTTAAAAAATAACTCATAGAGTTCAGTTTGTGATGACCATGTATTCATGAGTGTGGGGCCATCCAGCAGGTAGTGTAGTCTACCTTAAAGGAG